ATTAAATGAATAAATAAATAAATCAATAAACCCCTGAAAAAAACAAATCTGGTTATGTTGTTTTTTATACAATAACTCAACTTCAAACATAACAGATAATTCCATTAGGACAGACATTCAAGCAACAAATGATTCTGTCTTCTCTTCAATCATGTCTGATTAAAAAGAAAACAGTTTAAAAAGTTAATCCATATGGTGTTATCCCATGCTCTTTAAGTGGTTGACCATAGTATTTTCCATATGGTGTTATCAATATTACACTTGGGCCGTAAACAGTAAAACTGTTAAAACTGTACATTCAATTTCTCCATTTCTACAGCTTATGCCTGATTGCTTTCCACTTGCTCTTTTCAACATGCTCTTGCAGGAGCAACTGTAACAACAATTTCCCAATGGAAAAGCAACTGTAACAACAATTTCCCAATGGGGATCAGTAAAAGATACTCTTGGCATGTACTTAGCACAGAGAATTCAATTTTAAAAGGATTTTTGGCTTATTTTCCTGTACTTAGCACAGAGAATTCATTTTTAAAAGGATTTTTGGCTTATTTTCCCATCACATCCATACTGTATAGTGAAGTTACACTATACTGTTTAACAGATTCACACAAGTACCACTAGAGGGCGCATTAGCACCATTGGTGCAATGGTGGTTTGAGAACCTCGGCTCTAGGCCAACTTCTGATCCCGTCAAGGTCAACTACAACTGAGGAAGAGATTGCAAAATAAATGGCTTTGTTTTCATTTCACGGGGCTAATGTTCACTTAAAATGTTTTGTAATTTATACAAAAATTTAAAACATATATTAAAGAATTGGAAAAAGAAAGGCGCTTACCTGGTCGACAAGGCACATAAAGACCCCAGGGCCACTGCATAATTGGCTCCTCCCCAGCCCACGTACTTGAAAGCCACAGGCAAGGGGCTGTTTTTGTCCAGTATGTAGTACGGCATCATCACAGTGAGTGCTGCAGACACACTGAAGTACGCCACAAAACAAATAAGGAGGGACGCAACTATTCCAATGGGAATGGCCCTCTGCGGATTCTTCACCTCTTCACCTGGTGGAGAGTCAATGCACCATGTTTTAGATCAGATCTTAAACTGACATTTTAATTAGCAAACAACTGCAGGCTATATATGTATATGTGTGTGTGTTCTGGTCATATGAGTATGACTAAACATGCTGTCTTTACAAGAAGAAAATGTTTTGGAACTGCTGTTTTAGATGATAAGAATGCATGTGTCTAAGTGTGTTTGATGATGCTAGTTCATTTTAGCTCACCTGTAGTGGCAATGCAATCAAAGCCTATAAAGGCATAAAAACAGGTGGCTGCTCCAGACAGAACTCCAGAGAAACCGAAAGGCATGAAACCACCTTCCCCCAGGGCTTCCTTCGTAGGTAGAGGGTACGTCTCACTAGAAAAAACAAACAAACAGACAGACATCTGTTTGAAACCAACTTATTAGGTTTTTACAATTCACAATGAAGTCCTTCAATTGTACCCACTTGTAGTTTGAGCCATTTGTGGAGTTGAGAACTTTGTCAGGATCTAATCTCCAGTTTTCTAGGTTTCCTTTGACCATGCCAGAGATGATCACAAACAACAGCACCAGCACGTTGATGCAGGTGAATATTTTGTTCACCAAAGCCGACTCCTTCACTCCAAACACAAGAAGTCCTGCAAACAATACCAAAAACTCTTAACTTCTTCATCTGCCTCCTCCAGCTGTGGCATCATGTGTGTATCATCTGTACAGTTTAACCGACAGAAATATGCATAATTTCATATTTAAACTTGCATTGTGAAATTTGCTTGACGGTACCTTACTATAATATATTTACAAATATCAGAAATCTTGTCCATTAAATAGAAAAATTGTCTCTTCGTGTCTCACATGTGCAGAACATCTTGAATTCAAAACTTGAAGTCGTTCAGAACCTAACATGCCTAGTATGAAGAGGTTCACAAACACATTTTTAAGTCGTGTTACGCCATGTTAGCTGCCCGCTGCGGGCTAACATCAATGAAGCGATTCGTTGTACAAATAACATTTGGTCAAGTGACAACTTCAGTGTCTATATTATGCAGACCACTAAGCTATTTTTTGAAAGTTGGGTAGACTGAGGAGAGAACCTGTGGCTGTGTGCACTCGATACTCTAAAAATCAAGATCGGTGCACATAAATCAGAACATTCCAAAGGGTGCATCCCTATGAAGAAAAAAAACCCCACAACAACAACACATAGACGGGAAAGATCTGAAAGGTTTCTGACCTGTGAGAATAAGTATAATCAAGACAGCAAATATATCTGGATATTCTGCCAGGACGCCAGGAGCGTTGATAGTCATGTATTGCCTACAGAATTTCTCAATTTGCCCTTTTATCAGCTCATCAAAGGTGGCACTCCAGGCTCTGGCCACACTTGAAGTTCCTGTATGGGGAGAAAGACAGTTTCTTACAAACTAAACTACCATCAACAAAGTTTCAGCTTCATCCCTCACTTATTAAAAGTGTCTCACCTATGATATAAGAGAGGATGAGGTTCCAGCCGGTGATGAAGGCCCACAGTTCTCCCACTGTCACGTAGCTGTACAGGTAGGCCGAGCCCGTTTTTGGGACGCGGGCTCCGAACTCGGCATAGCATAGTCCAGCCAGGACAGATGCCAGAGCGGCAATGAAAAAGGAGAGGATGATGGCTGGTCCAGCATTGGTTCTGGCGACAGCTCCGGCCAGTACGTAGACACCAGCTCCCAGCGTGCTGCCCACGCCGAGGGCCACCAGGTCAAAGGTGTTGAGGCATCGACACAAGCGAGACGCATCTGTGTTACAGTCCACCACCTTCACTCGCAAAAGCTGCTTCCCAACGTTTCTGAGTGTGGCCAGAATCATCCTGGCTGTTCTCAAACAGGGTTCTTCAGTGGCTTATATGTCTGACAGCTTTAAAAAGGGGGAAGATAAAAAAAAGGAAACTTAATTTTAGAGTTTGATTTGACTGTCGCCAAGTTGAGCTTCTACCTGTTCAGGAACTGTATTGAGCAATCTCACACATTTCTTTAACTCAATAACTCAAATTCACATTAAACGCCATTTGCCCTAAAGCTAGAAACAAAGCTGGTCAAAATATGAAACAATAACTTGTACAAAAGTATTCACTGCTGAGAAATGTTTGACTCTGATATCAACCCCACTCAATCAGTCCAACACACACTCGTACACAGCTGTGTCCAACAACGCAGGCTTCTACTCACTTAAAAGACAAATCAAAGCGGATGTTCTGTCGCTGATGAGCATTCAGCTTTTTGTGTAAAATAAAAAACAAACAACTGCAGCACTTCCTCCAGAGTCCTGCACCAGTTTCTGTCCTTTCACAAAGAGCGCAGGGACCGACGTCTTTAAAGAGTGTTCATAGAGTGACGCTGCTCATGCCTGTGTACAAACCCTTTAGATGTTTTGGTCTCAAATAGCACAGTGACACATGCGTCACACCAGTGTCCACACATTCAACGCCTTGGGACCCTGTTGGGCTGCACTGATCCTCGTCACTAAAGGTTTAATAAAGGTTAATATGACATGACCAGAGCTTCTGTGTGTTACAGAAAATATTACATTAAGTAGGGAAGCCAAAACATGTTGATGAAAAAATGCCAGTGGAAAAGAAAAAAAAAAAACGTCCTTGTAAGCTGTGCAAGGTGAACATTTTTTCCATCACAGTCACAAGGGGAATAAAGACAGGGGGTGGTTTTATTACACAATCACATTCACTCCCAACAGGAGGATGTGTCTGAGCTAAAAAAAGGAAGGTGGGCAGCGGTGAGCCCTGCCTTCTCCTCAGCCAATCACAGAACTCACCATCTGTCCGTGACACATAGGGGCACGTGAGTGTGTCTGGCATAACAGTCAATCACATGCTTTCACACTGTTGTTTGGCTGCAGGCAAAATACTTTGGCTCCTGATTAACAAGGGATCGGTTACAACGTGTACAGCTGATAATAATCAAGAAGACACACCTGCCTTCACACAGAAGTTCAGAAAGGCGAACCATATTCACGACTCTTTCTGCCAAAAATTTCTCAAATTCTCCAAATGTGTACCAGGTTGGCCTCCAGTACAGTACATCTAGAGTCATTGAATTGGAGATTCACGTTCAACAAAAAAACTAGAGCTGTTTCAAGTCGTGTAATGCTAGGTTAGCTGCCTGCTCCCGCTAACCCTTAAACAGCAATTACTTTTACCATTGACCTTTGGACAATTAAGGTCACAGTGGTTTAGACACAGATTATGCAGACCCCTTGCCCAAGTTTTACTCATCAGGAGGTTAGGTATGCTGGAAATAATTTTTATTCACATAGAACCTAACTCCAGTCACAGAACAATTCATTTTGAAAGACTGTTCAAATGGATTGTTCATGTGTTTGTGTTTCTGTAAATTTTGAAAGACTGTTCAAATGAATTGTTCATGTGTTTGTGTTTCTGTAAAAAGTCCTTAAGTTTTCAATTTACTATTTAATTTAACATTTTAATTTTTTTTCAATAATTTAATATGTATTTAATATCTTTGTTAACTTAGGATGTTCTTTAGACCCATAGTTATCAAATCATTGTACAATTTCCTTCTTTAATTTGTGAGTCAGCCCTAGCAAATTGACTGTTAGCCTTCAGGAGCAAGAAGGGCAACTACATGTCCTTAAATCTATAATATAGATTGATTTTTGCGGAAACCTGCCTTAACCTTGGTGGCTTGGATTTATTGATAACATTAATTACATAAACATTTATTAAGCAGTAAATATTTTCAAATGTATTTCATTTATGTGAGTAAAAGATGTGCTATTTGAGGTGGGTTTTTTTTAACAACACCAGATGTGGTCTTTTGGTTGATAGAAATTTTACTATACACTTTCTATAACATTTTCTGTGATGCCAATTTGACACCAAATTATCTGCAATGGATCAATGTCCTTGGTGCTACAAAAGTTAATTTAAACTAATTACTTAAATTAAAACAATAAGTAAATTACTTAAAATAAATAAAATAAAAAAAGTAGAAAAAACATTTGCTAAGGGCTCATTTGTTCCTGGCCTTGCTCCTAATCAGCATGCACATGGAAAGTAGTACAAACAAGTGCACCTGTCCTTGCGGTGTGAAGTGGGAACCAGGCATGCCATGTGAGAGCAACAGACAGAACAGACAGCTTACACAAAACAAACTGACTTTCTTTCCAGGGATTTAATGTTTTGTGGGGCCATGATGACCTTGCAGCAGTAAAGCTACAAAGGATAAAACCAGGACAAAGACAAACAAACAAGGAAACCTTTGATCTGTTGTATAAAAAAACTAATTATTTTTAGTCTTTTGCTCGCAAATCTCAACGGCAAAAACTTTATATAATTTTACATTTTTTCATGCATTACGACATTTGATAGACTGCAACTAATTATATTTTTTCTATTTTAAAGCATCAACAAACAGTTTACTAATGTAAAAAATATTAAATATTTATACATATGCATATATATATTATTTATATATTGAAATACAGTATATACATACATATATACACATACACATAAACACAAGGTGTAGTCAATAATTTTTTGTTATGAGATGTGGACAGTTGTCATCTTGGTTCTACGCCAAGACCAATGTCCTGCGAGGCCTTAGTCAGGACAAAACTGACATGACCTTGCAGAGTTCTCGCTGATTCAGTATTTGCATTGAGTTTCTTTCTCATTGATTAGTATTTGTGAATGTCAGGGTAACACCATTTCTCAAATTAACAAGTACGTAAGTGAAGTACAAGTGTGGAAGTATTTGAAGACTTGTTAAGACAATTATGTCTAAAGGAGGTGAGATGCAGAAGTAGACTGTAAAAAAACAAAAAACAAAACAAAATAAATAAATAACCTCTCAGTGCATCAGTAGTGTTGCTGAAATCCATTTTAAAAACTATCTGCTACAGGGTTAATTTTAAGCTGCTTATGATTTACTGTTTATAAATGACAACTACAAATTGTAGTCTTTTTATATACACAGCTCAGTGTTTCCCCAACCGTTATATTAGGGAGGGTGCCCTCGGTTAGCGAATATCAAAGTCTTGGTCTGTGAGTGTATGTGTGGTTTTAACCACCGAGTTATCATGAGGAAAAACACTGCTCCAAGTTATCAACTACACAGGAACCTGTATCCGTGTTGTATCATAATGTTAGCAAAGAAATTGATTAAAAATGTAAAAGACCTTGTCATGGCTATAAGGTTGCTGATAAAAGTCTACCCTGTGAAACAAACAACCAAAACGTAGTCAGTTGATCAGACTACGACGTCAGACCTAAAAGCTGATGGAAATACATTGCAGACTGAATATCACTTATTCCAACTATTTTTTTAAAGGATTGTTTTCTCTTTTTTAATCTCTTCTAGGACAAATTTATTTTTTCATATACAAACCAACTTTTTTGCTTTTTCATTTTGTTTACAAGTTCAAACTGTTACTTGCTTTATTACTTTCTGCTGTGTTGTTTTAAAGACTATTTAAAGATTTTGTATATTTTATGGTTACATCCTACAAAAATAGCTGTTCTTTAACGAGAGCACCATAGGAGACTTGGTACAATTTCCAAACCATTTAAAATGTGCTGGCTGCTGCTGGCTATGGGTGCTTAACAATTACATAGCATGGCACTTAAGATAGATTATGTATCATTTTACCTATATGAAGAAATTTGATAAGAGCCTGTATTACATGGTCAAAAACATCTTGCCCAAAGACATTTATGGTAAGCTCCCGATATGTTTTTAGCTAATATGCTGATGGGTTTGCTGTAATTCTCGTAAACTCGATAATATCTCGTAATTTAACTAATTTTAACCCGTGGGCACAATGACACATACTGTATATCCAATTCCACCTTCAGTTGACACTACTGGCTTGCGTCATCTGACAAATTGACATAATTGTGACAATGAGGGAGTGTAAACCAATTAATAAAGACCTAAGAGAACTAGGGGTTATGACAAGTTTTAAACCATCTCCATGAAATAAAACATCCCTATGGAGGACAATTCCGTCTTTCTGTTCCAGGAATATACGTCAGTGGTTCACCAGCCAGAGGTCGGGAACCTATGATATGAACGTCAATTAAGATACTTTTACCATATTTTACAGCTTCAAGAATGATACATAGGAATGATACAACCGGAAGTATAATGGGGCTGCAGCAGTAATGCTGAAGCACAGGTGGAGAGAAGCAAAAACACCACAATCCCACAGTCCTTCTGATGCAGTGATACTTTTATATGAAGCGTCGCGGAGAGAAAAGTTGATGTGTGGTTGCATCAGCCTTATTTCTGCATGCCTGCGACAGGTTTCTTACGCGCTACTATAAAAAAACCCACATGGCTCTCACAGCCGCGCGATCATTCTCTTCTTACTTCTTCATCGCACGCCCGGTGTAAAAGTTTGTCCTAAGTTTTCAAATGGGTGGAATTGCCTCGAAAGTGAAGCATTCCAATGGAAAAGTTCAACTCTTACTTTTTCAGGAAAGACAGGGCCGAGAAGCAGCTTGTCTGTTCGTTGTCACTGTAGTTCTTACTGCAGAAACATGACTTCACAGAGAACAGTCTATGAAGCCGCCACACACGGAGGTGTTTCCTCCTTCAACACACACTCTCACACATAATTTCACACACTCTCTCTCTCTCTTTCTCTCTCTCTCTCAAACACACACGCCCATCGTAGTGACCGCACCCACCTCACATAGAACGCACATTTTTCGCACAGTACTCGCATGAATGATTGTCTGAGGTGAAAATGTAAACAAAACAAAACTAGTTCGTTCACTGATTCATATTTTTTCTGGTTAGACATGTTCATAATTTGCAACATTTAGGTACGGGAACACATTTCATCAGTCACGAGGTGAGGTTGTGTGATACAGCAAATAATAGTATTTAAATGCTGTTGTTGAAGCCACCAGACCAATAACACTAAATCAGGGGTGACAATCAGAACCCATTGATGAATTTTGTGAAGTGAAAAAATGCACAAACATTTAATGAAACATAAGTTATTTCATAGGAAATTTGGTAAAATCAAGTAAACACAACACTACAATACAAACGCAGCCTGTTAGTAGCACAGATATGTAAAAACCTGATCATTCAAATATAAATATTGTTCTGAGAATTTTTTTTTGCAGTTATTAATTTTTTATTCTTACTTTGGTAAAACTCTTTACTCTGTTTACTCTGCAGTACCACTATCTACCACATGGTGACACTATGTACAAATGAACGCCTTGTTGACTGCTGCTCAAGTCAGGAGTCGTCTCTTTAAGGCCTTGAGAAAAGGTGATCAGACAACAGCTTACTCTATAGTCGTGTATTAATTTTGATTCGAGAGGAAGCATTCAAACTGATTCCTAAATGTTCCTAAAGATATACAACCGAATGGTAAGGAGGTGATGTGAACGTTGTCAGAAAAAACAACAAAAAAAAAAAAAAAAGAAAAGAAAAGAAAAAAGAAAAACCAGTTCACGTAGCTTAGAATGGAGACATTCCCTCCAGCTGGATCGGTTACTTCAGCCCACAGCTGGGGTTGCTGGGATCAGCTGGGTATTGGCTCTTTCATGATTCCCTCCTTTGCTAAGACTATAACTAGTACATGTATCAAAGCTTGCTAAGACATAATTGGCGAGGGGGAGTGCCGTGTTCGCCGCCTTATCTGACATTTCTGGATTTACGGTTGACTGCCACTCACCCTGTGGGCCAATTGTGGCTTGCCTTGATAAATGGGAGAGTCAGCCGTAAGGTGATGTTAAAGTGATGCAGTTCCTGTGAGACTTCCCGTGAAGCAAGTATACTCCTCATGAAGTACGTGCAGGCTCCCCCTCTCTGGATATTTCAGCATTTTGTTCTTTTTTTAAAGATACATTATCTGCACATTTGTGAACTTATCTCTAGCTCTGCTGTAAAATGACAGGATGGTAGGTTTCAGTGGTGATGCTGGTCTTACTGCAGGTCCCTTAGATTTGCCATCTCTGTTCCTCCAGAGTGTGTGCTGTGGTGGTTTCCATTCAAGTCGTTTAATGAGGATCGAATAGACAAGAGATACCAGGAGGGTACTGTTAATTACATTGTACAATTGAAAACAAGTAGTACTTTGGGTCTCAAAGAGGAACACTGGAGACAGTGGCTGCCAGTGTTCTGCACAGTATGAAACACAGAACGTAATAATGACAAAATTAATGTCGGCACACAGCTCTGTGCTGGGCCTCACCACAGTCCCAGTAGACACATTGTATCCTACTTTGTCCTGCATTGTTTGCACAGTGAATGTAAAGGCTACACACAGTTTGACTCAGAATACCAAAGAGGAAGACACGTTCTTCTTCTGCTCTTTATGTCTTTACGTCTTAACATTTCATTTTCTGAGGTCACACAGAGTCTACGAGTTCTGCTCTCCAGTAGTAGACATTTTCAAACAATGTTTAGGTTGTATCATTTTAGTGGACCCTCAGCTTAGACTCGCTACATTCAGGTTTATAGGATGCGGCCCATCTAAAATTATAGTACCTCCCCACCCCCCAATGATGTTTTGATACTTACTTAATGGAGCCAAGTGTCCTTGAACAGTTTTTTTCCTGCAATAACAGCAAATAAAATGCCATGTGATGTCAGTGAGCAAGTATTCATTAAAATGAGCTCATTAACCTTCTCAAAACCATTTCCTAAACCGCTCCACCAGGCCTTAATGAACATTTATCTGGAAGTCTCTTGAAGTATGTTTGTATAAGACAGAGATTGGCTGATGAGGCGACAGCAGTGGCTAACTCACCGACTGCCTCAGTCTGAGGGTGCAACATGTCACACCGCTGCACTAACACAACATCAGACTCTCAGTATCGTTCCTCCAGTGGTTCACAGCGATCTCCAAAGAAATAAATAAAGACACACTGTCACGTCAGAATCTTCTCACGTGCAACGGCGGCAGATAAAAATAAATGATTTTGTTCCCATGGTGGAGTAGATCCTGCAGCCTGCAGACTGTAAGCTTTTCCTTGTGTGTGTGTGTGCGTGTGTGTTAAGGTGTGAGTGTAGCAGTACAAATTCACAAAGATGTTGATTTGTTGTGAAGAAGCAGATGCTTCTGTGTTGCATTAGGCCATGGGTGTCAAACTCATTTTCACCGGGGGCCACATCAGCAATACAGTTCCCATTGAAGGGCTGGTTGTAAATGGAAGACTGTATAGATCAGGGGTCCCCAACCCCCGGTCCGCGGACCAGTACCAGTCCGTAGGTCATTTGATACCAGGCCGCAGTTGGAAAAACTGCTGGTAGATCATAAAAATAGTTTACAAATCAAACTGTGGGCCTCACAACATCTAACCAAGTGCCACATGTAGGCCCACAGAAGCAGATTTAGCCTCATTTAATTTTCAACATGAATGCAAAAAGCCATGTGTTATAGACAGAGAAGTGTGGTGCGATAGTTAGTGAGTATCAGACATCGTTTGAGAAGAGAATCATAGGATTTTTGTGTCGGAGTTAAAGTGACAATGACATGAGCTGATGGACGATGATTAAACACTCGGCTTCTCGCTCACAGACTCCCAGCTTGAAATTTATGCAAAATGACTAGCTCTGTACATTTTTTTTCCAGGGTGGAGAAAAACATTTTTCAATGCTTTGTTGCTACAGAAAAAGAAACAACATGATCAAGATTCTTTTGGCTAAACACGAGGAGCTGGTCCTGAATATGAATGTGTTTTCTTTCCTCCGGTTCCTTTAACTGCAGTAGGAGGGAAATCCACACATGTCGCAAAGTGACACAACTACAATGACTGAGAGTCTGTAACCACACAGTGGCTGTGAGTCACTCTTCACAGTAGTGTGAGTATTAGGGCCACACTGAGAATAAAAAATTTAAATCGTAACTTTACAATAATAATAAAATGTAAATTTATGAGAAGAAAGTTGTAACGTTTTGAAAAATAATTTGATTTTTTTTGCTGAATAAAATCACTTGTTATAATTGACCAAAAAAGGTGAATTCCTGAGAATAAAGTTATAACGTCATGGGAATAAAGTCATAAATGTACGAAATTAAAGTTGTAATATGTGTCTAAACGAGTCATCTCACTGGTTTCCAAGTGCTAACCTCATATAAAGCAGGTATCAAATGGGTATCAAATAGCCTACATGTTTTTTCTTGGTGAAAAACAGAAAAGTCAAGACAGCATTTTCAGTGTGCTGATCCTTTTATATATGTATGGAAAAACACAAGTTTTTTATTATCAGAAATAATATTTCTGGCTTTATTTCTGGGCTCTAAAAAATAACAGGTAAACGCTCCCCCAGTTGATGCATAAAGTCAAGCATTACAACACAATTAAACATGTAATACTTCAATGTAGCCTAATGGTGTTTTTTCTTTTGCATGTTACATCTTTATACACACACACGTCCCACGGCACAAACATAGAAGAGCGATGGATCTGCAGGGATCAGACGAGTACTACGGTGTACTACAATAAGTGCTTGCTGGTGAACAATGAAATACTTTGTTGTGTTTGTCACTATTTTTTAATTACATACAAAATTATTGTTCAAAATAAAATATATGCTTTCTCTTCTCTGCTTCGATCACATTTGATATGTTTCCTCACAGTGTCCGGTTCACGTAGCCCCACCCACACGCAAAATCAACAGAAGCTAAAAGGAGCGAATTAGTCTGAATTAGGGATGGATCAATCCGGATATTCAGGATCGGTATTGGTCCGATAATGGTCCAAATTTCAGGGTTGAACATGGTCAAAAACAACAACATAATCCGTCCGATCCGATACCTAAGCCCAAATTCTTAACTTTACTTTGCCGTAAACAGGGACACTATCGTCTGAAGGAGAAAAGAAGGTATTGGATTGATATCAGTATCTGCAGATACTCCAAGTTGCAGTATTGGTATTGCACATGAAAAAGTTGTATCAAGCCATCCCTAGTTTGAATAAGTTTTTAAGTCAAAATGTTCAAAGACTAATTTCAAGAAATACTCTTCTTATCCTGTGTTTTTGAACCACTCATCTAAGGACTAAACTTTAATTTAATTTAAACTCTTGTATCTGTGATCTGAACTCAGACAAAATAGTTCTTTGGATGGCTTAAAAAACCTGATCAAATAAAAGGATTATATATTTTTGACAAAAAACTCAAAATAAAACTTGTCAGACACCTTTTTGGAATTTCAACATCTGTCTCAGAACCTTTTGACTGTAATTTCTTTCCTAATGCAGCGATCGGTGGTAAGGGGCCGTACTCAGACGACACCCAGTGTTACAGATGGTGTGTAAAAGCACACAGTTTAATCCCTCTCCCATTAAGGAGAGATCTAGGACACAAAAAGCAGGTTTGGGCGGTGTGCAAAGTTGACGCTTTAAAATTAAGGTGATTGTTAACACGGGTCTGGGGTTGTCCTTGGACCGTCGTCTCTGCGGGGACAATCATCCTCTAATAACAGTAATCTATCTCCTCGTTGGCCAGGACTACGGCTGTTCTGCAGGGAATGTAGACCTGGGAGATAAAGAGACAAAGGGGAAAAGGGAAGACAACGATCAACGATTAATGACGTCGCTGATTTCAGAGAGTAGCACATCTTTAGTCTGCTCTGTTTTTAAACTGGCTCTGATGGAGGAGGAACAGGTGTGATTGTTGCACACAAGCAAAGGTCGATGCCGCGAGTACATTTGAAAGCTGTCCACTGGTGGATCATTCAGGAACTAATTCAAAGAGTCTTAAATGTTGGAATCTGTGAACCAACAACAAGATTAATCACAAGTGAAGAAAAACCGGAAGCAAAACCTGAGACAACTGGAACGTGGAGTTTTCTCCTTAACGATAGACAATTATAACAAGGTTGGTCAGTAAAATAAAAAAAAACATACATTTGAAAAACTGTATTTCTTTGCACTGTTACAATGGATATATCTGTCTGTCCGTCCATCCATCCATCCATCCATCCATCCATCCGTCCATCATCCATCCATCCATCTATCTAGCTATCTATCCATCCATCCATCGGTCCATCCATCTATCTATCCATCTATACACATACACACATTTAAAAAAAAAATCATTTTCATCCAGGCAAAAAAACATGATACTATTTTCATGCTGCTCAGCTTAGACCAAGGCAATAACAGTGTGTTTCATCCTCTTCACACACACACACACCCAGTGCATCAACTGTAAACCTGGGAGTTATGTGAGGATACAGACTGCCAGTGGGCAGAGGTGAAAATACTGAAATCTGGAAGTTTTACTGGACTGGAGGGAAAAAATGTCAGCAAAAAGGAAGTCAACTGCCAAAAGGAGAAAAACAGAAGCTTGGGATTTTTTTTTTAAGAAAAGGTATACAGACAGCACAAGCGTACAGTGAACACGTTCACAGTTGGCTCGGTGCACTGTAGTCACTGGACGACTGACTGAGCCGTTTGATATGGACAGTGTCATTTAGATGCAGCCGACCTCCGTGGGCCGTTACTCAAGGTCAGCAGGGCTGATATAAACGATGCTGCATTTCCCAACAGGGAAGTGAAAAAGAGAGCAAAGCTGTAAACAATTCAATCACCCCCCCACCCCCAACCACCCGAACTCTTCAAACCCGTCCTTCGGCTTCAGGAGATGGGAGCTCCACTCTGGATGTGTTTATTTGGCAACTGTTTGTCACAGAGGGAGCGGAGCAGCGTGGCGCTCCAACGCCGACACTCACACCGGTGACTAATTAAACAGTCACAGTAGGAGGGTCTCCACACGGAGGAACACAGGAACAATGCACCTGTTCACACAACAGCACCGACACTGTTTAACCTCCGTACTTCCATTTCCAACGAGTAACGGAGACCAATCAGGATCAGTCTGTCACCGAGCAGCACCAGGGAGGTGCAAGTCCCAACAGTCCAGGTGAAGGTTGTACTTGTTGTTGACCAGCTCTGAGGGCGTGTTTGCATGTTGTATGTTGGCAGTAAACGGCAGGGCCCGCCGTGGTGCAGTGGAGCACGGCACTGCTGGATTCCTACCACCTCCACTCTGAGTATTTCCTGGTAAACACAGTTTGTCACGGTGTACTACAACCCCAGGAAGACGGTTCTGCTCTGAATAGAAAAACCTGATTTGTGGCTAACGAGGCATATTTTAAAAACATGTTTTTATAACTCATGTTATGTGATGTGATTTTTTTCCCCCCGACTGCCAAGTATGGTTGTATTTAGTTTTCTAACTGTCTTTTCATATTGTTGTAAGATTTGATAAAACGTTTGTTTGTAGCAATTGTTTAGCATTTAGCAACACTTAGCTTCCTGTCCAACACTTTGTTACAATCTGGCTAATTTAATGTTATTTTTGACTCCATTTTAGTACAATTACCTGCTCTTTATTTGTAAAATAACTCTGCTACACACTTAGCTAGCTTAAACGATTTCGCTGCAAAATTTTAGTTAGAATTCCTGAATGATTACGATTTTTTTTTGCTCAAAGGAAATCTTGACCGTCATTTCGTTAGTTAATTTTTTTAATAGCATTTAGTTTATGATAAGCCACAGCTTTTTAAAGTATTTAATCCTTCAACACGATTGATGGTGTGAGGTAGAAAAGTAGACACATTTAAAATAACATGTTCTGGTCGGCCTATTTCACTGAGTCGTGTGATTTACACACACCACACACAGGTTCATTCAAATATGACAGAAGATGTTTGAAAAGTTTAAATTTACATATATCAAGGATATTATGAAGCTCTTGGTAATGTCCGATCTCGGTGTACACTCTACACGCTGGTTCCATTATTACATGCAAATAGAACCAGATTGAACAGAGACTTTGCTTCAACAAATGCTGTGAATAATCCAAACGCTGAGTGAATAATACAGGTGAGGTTTGAAGGGATTAGAGCAGCAGTTTGGCTTCTTTCATCCCATCCAATACGAATCATGTAGGGCTGAAATTACAGCTAACCATCCCATAATCCATCCTGCTGTGCTTAGGAGATGTAAATCTTTAATATATTTCTTCTTGCTGCAGGCGTTCATTTGTTCCCATTCATTTCCATACAATATTAAAGTCTATTAGAAGCAGCATGAAACGGATTCAGCCGCACGATCCATTACAGTGAACTTTACATTTACGGCTTTCTTCCTTGTCAAAGCTCTTTTATCACTTTGTGCTAATGCAGTTTAACCAAGCGTAACTTTTCCTGAGTACCTTCACTGCGGGCAGGTGACAAGACAGAAATCAATACTAAAACATAACTGCTGTACCAAGTCAAACGACGAATGAACCCACTCAGCATCTATCACGCAGCCATGTCCAACTCGATCTCTCGGAGGTCGGTGCAGATATGACTGTTAATCTGCTTAAAATGAGAGTCATCATTTACCTGTGGTACCACGAGCTTATCAAAACAGAACAGATGCTAGTACTACTGATCCATGGTTACCAAGTTATGACATCATGCTCCCCAGGTTAACTTAGGTCTGCTCAGGTCACTCCCTAACTTGTGTGTCTCTCACTTTGAACTGGAGTTTTCTCAAGTTTTTCTGCAGTGACAGTTTATGACCTCTGACCCTAACCTTGTGATTTTCTACTTCTGCCATGTAGATATAACCTATGAATGATATGACAGTTGCCTGTTTCGATTGACCCCAATTGAGCTCAAGACTCATTGACATCTGACGGACATCTGTCTCATCACTCTGCCTGTTGTCCGTATCGTCTTCAAAAATATTTATGAAGAAAATATCATATAAGTATGATATTTTCTTCTATAACTATGAATCCCTCTCAGGGTTAGGAGGGTCTTGCTACACCTTGGACAGTTACATAAAGCGCATTACAGGATCACATATATTAACACATATGGACCATTTGGAGCAGACGTGTATGTCAAGGCTCTCCAGAGCTTATTATGTGTATTGTTGTCTTAAACGAAGTGTCTATCTTAGAGAGTCTACTCACTGTTTCTGGGGTGAGTGATTCATAATTCGAACATTTACATTGCTTTACCAAAAAGTCTCCCATAATTTACATTGATTGGATGGAACTGTATTTTCATCCATCTAGCATTAGGTAGCCTACCACCCCTTTGTGGAGGTACTGTGCCTGGACCCTATCTGACAGACTTGTCTAAATATGTCCACACGGGCTCTGCTACTTGCCAATGAATCATTTGGTGTAGGTGGAAGACTTACAGCAGCTGAGCAAAAGCAGTTTTTTTTTTCCTTTTTTTACCACAACCAAATTCAGTCGTAAATATTTAACAACAACGTGTCGATGCCTAGGGTGTTAGGTAACACAATGCATTTTCATAACAGAATGTGTTTCTTTAAAAAAAAGAAAGTAGAAAGTTACTCAGTCATGTCTGTCCTTTTCCTGACTCGTTTGTTTCACACTCAAATTCAAACATTCCTCCTTCTTCAGAAGTAGAACCCAGCCTCCAGGCTAATATCCAGTCTGATCAATGTTCAAACACACTGATGAAGGATTCATGAGGTTTGTTAGTGCCTGTCTACACACCGGAGCTGCTGCTACTGCCGTCAGTGCTCAGGAACCAGCTCAGCTCGGTGTGTCTTTTCTCACCATAACTGCCTTAACCGTGGTCAGGTTGTACTTCAGGCCGAGACCAAAGATCAGAGAGAGATGAACCTGTTTGTTCACTGTTGCAGTGATCAAACAAAGTCTATTTGTTACAACGTGAACCTGTTTGTTCACCGTTGCAGTGATCAAACAAAGTCTATTTGTTCTGTCATTACTACCTCGTAGTCTGAAATAAAGAAAAAAATATCAAGCAGAACTGTGAAGGCCTAAAATTACTATTAGCGTTGGAAGCTATGGTAACAGGTACAGCTGTTCATGGGAAGATTAACACTAAAAACACGCTAACAGGTACAGCTGCAATGATCACTGAATTTTGAAAAAAACAAACAAACAATTTTTTAGTTTCTCTAGAGTTCATGGGAAGATTAACACTAAAAACAGCTTTAGGAGAGTAATTTCTATGAGGATTGCAGGACCTTCAGATCTATTTATATTTGCTAAACCCACAGATTGTCCTTTAGAATAAGTGGTATACCCCATGAGAAGGAATTTGTTTGCATTGTATATTTAAGTGTGAGCAGAGCCTGACGCCTGACTTCTGACAGTTTTGCTCCTGTTATGGACACTTCAGTGTCAACTCTCAGATCTTCCTGGTAGAAAAGAGCTTCTTTTGATCATTTCAACACAACTGCTGTGTTTGCTCTCCCTTTTTCTTCTCATTTTAACTTTCTTCTTCATGCATCTGTCAAAGGACAGGGAGTGTGCAAAGGTTCTGAAGTGGCTAATTACCTATCAGCGTGTCTCACTGCTATGCTTGACATTTCAACACTCAAACTGAACTAGAATGTGACAAACACAGGAAGGAACTTTTGTTCTTTTAAACAATTACAATATAATAATAATTAACAGTAGGAATCAATGAGTCAGTAACATGAAGTTGTCACTTCACGCAACATGTGTTGCAGAAAAAAATATATATCTGTGTGTATGTACCTCTAAGTCAGAAAATGTACATACATATATTTACATATATGTAAATATATACACACATTTATGTATGTATATATATATACATGTGTATAAATATATATTTACATATATGTAAATATATGTATGTACATTTTCTGACTTAGAGGTACATACACACAGATATATATTTTTTTCTGCAACACATGTTGCGTGAAGTGACAACTTCATGTTACTGACTCATTGATTCCTACTGTTAATTATTATTATATTGTAATTGTTTAAAAGAACAAAAGTTCCTTCCTGTGTTTGTCACATTCTAGTTCAGTTTGAGTGTTGAAATGTCAAGCATAGCAGTGAGACACGCTGATAGGTAATTAGCCACTTCAGAACCTTTTCTTAACTTTCCATTTTTGTAACAGAAATAGTTCCGGTGCTCTTTTGGCCACTCTACTTCCTAACTTACTCCCATACAATATTAATTTGTGGCAGTGCAGACATGAGCAGATGACTTGTTAACTAAACTTCACATTGTGGCCAGCAGGGACGTGGGTCAGGCCGTGCCGTGTGAATTAATTAGAGCTGAAAAAAGATTAAAAAGAATACAGAATCTGTCTCCCTATTAGATGAGACCCGGGTTAATGCCGCTGTCTGCATTAAAGAGTAGGAGGCTTTCTAACCCGGTATAAATGTAAAATATGCTGAACTAATACTTTTTATTCTCCAACAAACAGCGCTGTGCACGTGTAACTGTTTAGAAAACAACCACTGACTGCGACACTTTTCAGGATTAAACAAACATACAGATGAACCAGGAGCCTCGTCAACTCTGCTGTCGACTTTCCTCACACGGCGATTGGATTTATTAGTGGGAAATGTAATCAGCATCTTATTGCCTCTCGGCATTTTAATCAAGAAAACAATTACATCGGGAGAAAAATGAAGGCATTTATGGGAGAGTCACAATCGCTCTGCTTCTTCCCATCTTGCCGCACTCATCAGCCACTTAATTAGATACACCTGTTTTACTGCGTGCTGCACTGCAACAATTTAATCAGCCAATCGCATGCTAGCGACCGCACAACGTACATAAGCGCGTGGACTTGGCTCAAGACAACCTGAGTGACGATCAAAGCCAAGCATCAGTCGTGCTGGTCTGCAACGAGTATGTTAACAATGATGTTGACGCAAAAAAAAAAAAAAAATGTACATGAAACCTGTCCTTGATCAATAGAGAGATTTGGTTGTTGTTAGCTTATTCTGGTATTAGTTGATGTCACAAAGTTCAGTTTTCACACACTCGTTCTTGAAGGAAAAAAGTTTGCCATCGTGCCATCATAAAAGCATGGAACCAAATTAAAGTTAGTTCTGAAGGCGGTTGAGTCCAGTTCTTGCAGGATGTTTGGAATACAGCGACTGCAGAGTGGATTTTTTTAGGCACCAATATATTTCATGATACGAGCCTTAAGGTGTCTCCACCGTTGCAGGCCCAGTGGACTTCTCTGACAAACATTTTTTTCTGCAATCCTTGATGCCTTATGTGCTTGAGGGCCAAACATTTGAAAAGGTAAATTCCACTGCCATTAATAATACATTTTGGTTTGGTTGAGAATTTGAAATCAGATTCAAATAATGGTTGCTGAATCTGGGATGTCTGCTCGCAGGAAACCACACAAATAAATGAATATATCCCCACGACCAATACCTCACCGTTAACAGGCATATCTAAACTTGTAAAAAGATAACATATCGATTTGATAATTTCATAAATTCCATATTAAAATCATATTCGTGAAGGGGATGTTAAATTACACAACAGCTATTGGGTGGAGAAGTCTGGATCTGGGATGAGATGAAAGATTTAGGACAAAGCAGCCACCAATCTCTGAGAACTCACTCCTGCCTCATTAAAGACTCTCTGAAGGACTCTGCAGCTGCACTTCAAGCTAATTAAACCCAGTCATGGAATCAAACATGCGACGTAAAAAGGACAAAACATTATCACACTGACAGTTGACATTTGGTAAATGTGAGCCTGCTGTGGAAACACTGCGGTTTATGCAAGAAAAAAAAAAAAAACAACAACTTTGATGCAGTATGAAACCCTCCATACTCAGACACAAGTAGGAGAAATATTTGTATACATATTTATAAGTTGAGTGGCTTCACGTGGAGTCCATTCATCTCAACATTTAGCAGCGGCCCACACCTGATCCATGCTTTAAAACTAATGGACTAAAAGATACTACGACAACATGGTGAAATAAGTAAATAAATACACACTTTAAATGCACAAAATTAAACGAAATAAATGTAGAATTCAATAAACAATCTTGATGTTAACTCCATTGTTTCTATGTGAATTCTAATGTGAACAAGACTGAGACCTGAAAAGGACTAAAACTACTGACGTGTTTTATACTTTACTATAGGTCCAATACCTAGCATGCTGCAGGTGTCCCTGTTTACTGCATTTCGTGAAAAGTTTGGCATTTGGGATTAGGTATCCTATCAGTCTGGCTATAGTTGTTTTTTTCTAAATTCGATGATGAAATTTTTACCCATATCAAACCGATACCAATCCTGAGTATCAGATCGAGTTATCCCTAGTAATTACTGCTGCAGCATGGTTTCAAACCTAATTATAGGTATACAATATATATGTTATATATTGGATAACTAATATTGCCGATGTCCTTGTATGTAAGGTCACTACAGTATATATACACCAAATACACTGCCCACACCATATAATACGACACTTTTATACGTCTGGTCTTCTTCAAACAGCTAATGTAACTTCTCCATGGTTTAGGTCAAAGCGAGTCTGTTACAGCGGTCTCATCACCACCCACAGCTCCTTCTGATGTTGTTCAGCTATGAGCAGCACTTACAGTCCATACACAAACTGTGAAGCTGTGGGACAATAGCACCTGTCAACAGTGCTCTCAAAAATCATTTAGTTTGCATACTGGTAATTTTGAGCAGCCTTTATTCTGTCGGTTTTTCTTTTTTTCTTTTTTTTTGTGAATTCCTCCCATCCTCCAACGCTGTGAAAAATCGTACCACTGGTGTGAGGTGAAACTGTGTTGAGTGCCCACAGATGGACTCGGCTATAATGGCCCTGGACCTGTGGCTGGAGTACTGACTCACTGCCATTCAACTGAATGTGATCTTTGATGGAAAAAAAAGTTTGGAGCTGAAATATTCACCTGCATGGAGTTGGCACGGCCGTTGAAAGGCTCGGCCACAGTGAAGAACTCCGTGTTGTGGTCCAGGCGTCCGTGACCTCCATACAGACCCTCATCTGTGTCCAGCTTGATTTTGTATCTGGTGAAGTGGACAGTGTTAAGGTGCAACAGCAGAGACATTTGGAGATCGTCCACATGAGGAACCAAAGAGGAGGAGTTTTAGTTTTTTGGTGTTCAGACTTGCTCTGAGAACAATCTGCTACTTTAACTCATTAAAATCTTCACATCCATCAGCATTCATCTCCTCATCATCCTCCTCCTCCTCCTCCTCCTCCTCACTGCATTGGGGAGAAACAGTTCAAAGCAGTAACAGACAAAAGCAAACGCCTGTGGAAATTAACATAAAAACAAAAGAGATTCAGTGGTGGCTGATCATCCAGCTCCTCTGTTTGCTCTGGTTAATATACACTGCATAAATAAAAGATGTGATTGAAAAAGTGATCAAATTAGTAACAACGGATACACACAGTAAAACCAGGCATTCAGAATCTTAATATTGTGTTCTGACTTTCAGGAGAATGAAGACTTTAGAAAATAGTATTTATTATCATTAAACTTTGTGTGATGAAGAAAAGCCACTCTGAAAAAGTCAGTGCAATAAATGTAACATACTGTATAAATCACTCCATATTTTCCAGCTTGGCTCCATGTGCGTAACTTCACCTTTTGGTGGAGATCACATTGATTAGAAAATGAATTTTGCGTCCCGCTCTACAGCAGCCGGCGAAATGGAGAACACTGACTGACATGATGTAAAATATCAAGCTGGAAAGTTTCTACCGTCTGTCTCTACCAAAAGCACTTTTCTGAGAAGGAGAATACAGTCAACTCATCACAACATCGGAGACGCTCTCTCTGCATTATGAAAATCAAAACGATGGATGGCACAGTCAGTCAACAAGGCTGTTGGAACTCTTGAAGTAGTGGGGAAGAAAAAAACATGCTTTTTATCATGTTTGCGCATATATAAATTAATCTGCAGACACAGGAAAAACAACTGAAATGTATCAAAAATATGTTCAAAAAGCTATATTCCCCAAAACGAACCTGCTATTTGGTTGGACATAAAAGATATAAATAGAAAAACTGCAAAAGTTAAATAATAATAATAATAAACTGAAAACACTTCGCACTGTCCTTACAAAAATTGTTTAAATGTGACAAGATGAAAAGTAATTACAATTAATGCGGTAGATGCACTCTGGGATAAAGAGTAAAAAACGGAATGCACTTCACACTGTCCTTACAATTGGCTTCCCTTATATGATCCCCAAAGATTACTTAAATCAACAAAATTGTTTAAATCAGGAGAAAATGTGACAAGATGAGCAAAAGTAAGTACAATTAATGCGGTAGATGAACTCTGGGATAAAGAGTAAAAAACGGAAAGAGAAACTCAGATTCATCTTGACACCAAAACTATAAAGGTCTTCCTGGATGACGAAAACTAAATCCATGGTTGACAGTCGATGACTTGCTGTTGTTGTTGCTGCGACAGCATATTTGGGACCTTTTTAAAAGCTGGCAACCAGATGAAAAAAATGACTACGACGACTCTACATAAATAAGCCTCCGTCTCTGAAAAACATCTCTGGGCAAAGTTTAGTTTTGCTCGTGTGACTCCCCAAAGTGTAAATATGAAGCGGTGCGTTCATGTAAAATGTAAATATCCGTAATCATCTCTGAATTAATAACGCCTGTCTCTCAAAGACAACGGCTGCAAGGAGTGTTGGTGTAACAAACCAAAAGGAGAATCTTACACGCACACAGGATTCTGACTGGCTGGCTGTCGCTGAATAATCACCTTCATCTCAGCACGGGCCACGGTGTGAAGTGTGATCCACAGACGCTGTCTGTTTCTGTGCCCTGAGCTCGGAAAAGTCTGCGTTTGCTGCCTGCTTGTCTGCTTTGATAGTGATGATTAAAAAGAGGAGCTGCTCTGTGCATTGTTTCTGCTGAGGCACAACCCCCCCCCAACCTTCATGCCTCTCACCGCTACAGTTAGTTATTAACAGAACAAATTCATTTCTCGGCGCAGGTTTTACTGCTAAATATCAGAGAAGTATGCAAATCATGTCACGCTCAGGGGCTAAAAAGGCTTTTGGGAAAGTGATCTTGTATCAACGTAATGACTCACTCCTAAAATAGACGCCTTTACCTGAAGGAGGACTGTGTGAACAGCACAGTATCTGGAGCTCTGGTCTCACAGCAGGAAGATATTCAGTTTAAACTGCAGTTTGACAGTTTTCTCTGTGTTTCCATTTCAACCAACAAGTGGCATTTGTCTGCAATGGGAAATATTTAAGAATGGACTTTTACTCCTGGGTAAAAAGTCTCTGCAGGATCATCAGAAATGAGTAGGGACTTTCAGCAAATATTTGAATTCACCCTTGAAAGTATTACAAAAGTAGACAAAACAAATGTAAAAAAGTTGAAAAAAGTTGCTAAAAACTAACAGAAATTACATAAATAAAAAAAAGACAGGCATCTAAAACTTGGGACATAATTGTAGCCACGGTAACTAGAGTGAAAACGTAAATATAAAATATAATATATAAAAGTAAATTCAGGAAGTAAGCAAAGTCCAGATATAAAAGTAAAAAAAAAAACGTTGCAAAGAAGCAAAAATGAAAACATCAAAAAATACTTTAAAAATAAAGTTACATGTACAAAATGTGATGACACTTTTTTTTACGGCTGTTATTGGCATACTGTATCTCCCTTCTACAATCTAATCCAAAATGATATCAAAGCAAATCATTTTCATCTCAGCGCAAATTTGTGTTCGACTCTGAATCCAGGACGGAGCTGAATTATTCCAAAGGACGAGGGAACGGCAGAGACAGAGATGAGGAAAAATGACCCAACACAATCTCAGCTGCCTTTTGGCACAGTGTAAATCAAAGAGCAATCTGCCCTGACAGGTACAGCTCTCCTGACAGCATCCAAGTGGGATTTCAAATACTCTAACCATCCAGATAAAACCCATCTGCCTGGAGAAGGTGTCCACCACTGAGCTGCGGAGAAGAATTGTAATAATAACAGTGAATACTGATGGCTTGACTGCCTGTCACCAAACTGACAGTGACTACATTTTAATGACCCAACATTTTGGGGAGATGTGGTTCCTTTCTCCTCCTCGTGCACAATATAAAACGGGGAAATAGTTTGTCTAAAAATATAAAAAGGACAAACAACCGATGACCATTCAGGCATGAGGAGCTGCTGCTGCTGCTGCCCCTTTTCAGGGTCATGGGG